TGTTTTGATTCTGTACCTCACGTGTTAGAAATCGTTTAAAAATGTCTTTAAATAAATAAATCACGGTGGTGAGGAGGAGATCTGGAGGGTTAAACTGACGAAATGCACTCACTGTTAATAAAATAAAACTGGCAATAACAGAAAGAGACATTTTTAAATAAACATTTCAGAGAGAGGAGTCATGTTGAACAATTAAGATATATAAATATAAATTCAACAGTTTCTTATCCAGATGTTTAACATGTGTTCAGGCTGTGAGACTGAATCTTATTTCAGCTGAAAATAAAACCTTCACTAAAAAAATAAACAAATTAATTAATTAATTAATTAATAATAATAAAAAACATCACTTCCTGGTGAGTATCAGTCCGCGTGTCCCTGCCGGACTACTTCCTCCTGCGGATGAGCACGCGCCTGTGCGGCTCGTGTGTCGCAGGTGAAGCTGAAGGGTGGAGGTGAAATCTGCCTCCGACTTCCAGGTAAGACTCACCTCAGCTCCTCTTCTGGACTCACTTCATGTTTTTCCTCAAGTTTACTCAGATTTAAAGTTTATTTTTACAGTTTTGTGTTTTTTTTAATGTTCAGACAAACTGAACGAATTAAATGTTCAGTTTTAATCAACACGATCTGTTTTTATTTTAACGATGTTTCAGTCTCTGGTTCATTTTATCTGTAGAAAACTTTAGCACCAGTTTCTGTTGTTGTCTCTTAAACTTCATTTTAAATGTTTTTGAACAATCTGCCGTTACAGAAACTTGTTATTCGTGTTTTTTGGTCAGATGCGCTCATTTTTAGGAAGTTTTTTTTATGTTTTAATCTGTTTGTTTTGTAAAACTTCGTTTTGTTGCAGTTTTAGGTTCAGCTGTAGATTTTTAATCTTAATGAGCTTTTCTTAAAATAAATGAAGTTTAAAATGAAAAAGCAAAAAGTTGTGATAAACATCAGTAAATTTACAGCAGCATGTTTATAAATCAACTTCTGTTTGCACCGAAGTTGAAGCTATAAGTGGTTAAAACATGACTTTTAAAAAGCCCCCCCCCCC